CCCGTGTCAAAGTGGAACCTTCCCGGGCCGATAGGTTCCTCACCGTTAAAGGTCCCTGAGTATGAGTAATTAGGGGTTACAATTGTTCCTTCGTCTTCAAACCTCCCGTTGGTCCAGTTACCTGGAAAATGCAAGAAAAAGGACAATTTCTCAGTGTTGTGTAGTGATTGCAACAGGAAGACGGGTCTCGTATTTTTTTGAGGCTGGCGGCAGCATTTTTTTCTTTTACTCACAAGCCCATGTCATTATATTCATTAGTTTCCTAACTGTTACGAGCAAGTGATATTTTATAGTAATTTTTTTATATTATACGATTCTTCTTCGTCTTCTTCTGCTTCTGCTTCTTCTGCTTCTTCTTGTCATCATCATCATCATCATCATCATTACTGTCACCATAACCTTACTCGTCTTATTTATAGAACGTTCGGGATTCCCTAAATAAAGGCATTCATCAAGTTAGCTCCAAACTTACTAGCAGGGGACTTACCTTTGTATTTAAGCCTTTGGTTCTTGTAGATGTATTCCCCTTGCCCATGTCGCCGATCTTCTTTCCACATTCCTAGGTACTTATCGCCATTAGCATATATGTATACACCATAACCATTCCTCTGTCCCTCGGCCCAGTCTCCATCATACACTGACCCATCAGGGTACCAGAATGTTCCTTGACCATGTCTCTGATTGTTGACATATTGTCCTTCGTACCTAAGAAATAAACTAGAAAATTATACGTTTATCACAACGCTTCGCGAAGCTGTGATGGAGCCGACGCACTATGAATAAACTGAAACCAGCCAATAGGTAAAATATGGTCTAAAAAAGCAACAACAACAACAACGGCAAAGAGAACAAAAACAAAACAGCCAAAAAGAAGAGAAAGAACATTTCCTTCGGCGGGAAATTTTGATTTTTATTAAGCGATTATACAAAAGCAAGAGCACTGCTTTTCTTTGGTAGAAATTTAAGGGTGAAGTCAACAAGAATTTTTGGACTTGAGAAAACACGTGCTGTAGAAAAGTGCCTCCAGAGAACTGTGTTTTCTGTAATTTAATTGGTTAGTTATTTGGTTTGAAAGCGCGTTTGAATATAAAACAAACTCGCAGCAAAACTAAGCCAAATAACATGTCGGTGAACTATAGTTATGCCAATTTTGTGAAATTCAAGTATAGTGCACAAGTACAGTTCCAGCGTAAGCTTGGATAAACTGTCTTCATGATGTCGCGATTCAAGAAGAATTGCATATCCATAGCTGAGAACCGTACAAGAAAAGAAATTACTGGACAGATCACTAGATGTAACCGCAAGGAGACGTAATGAAAATTCAAGTTTTTTACGCAATTTCAAACTGCTGGTAAAAGTTGTTTATGATTTTTTCTACGTGCAGTAGAACCCCAGTAACTCGAACCCTGAAGGGAAACGAAAAACAGTTCAAGTTAGCGAGGTTTCGAGTTATCAGGATCGATTGCAAAATTCAATTTGCCATGTTAAACTTGATACATACTGATTTTTAAGCACTTCAGTGTATAGTGAAGTGCAAATTTTCAATAGGAGAAAATCAGAGATTACACTGCATCTTTTGTGATCTAGTTTTATCCTTGCTTCAAATTATATATACACATATACTTTTCTTTGTTTCAGACCTAGCTAGTACTTTTGTTTGCTTTTAATAATCGCTATAGAAGAATTATCAAACCCAAAATAGTCTCCATAATGTTCACTTGCCGCGTTATTTGTATAGGTAATAGCATGATTCATTTTTGGCACAAATACCACGAGTGATATTTCAAAATTGTTATACGTAATTTCACGAGCCGATGAGGGAGTGAAATTTGAGACAACTTTGAAATATCACGAGTGGTATTTACACTACTTCCCGCAAAAGGTTTGTAATTTTCACATGTAAGTACTTCAAATCAAGCAGAAATACCACGGCTCTAAGCCAATCAAATTGCAGAAATTTCTCACGCAGTAGTAATTAAGTTTATTACCTTGCCTGTTTACTGAAAAACACGTATTTCCCCTTGCCATGTCTCTTTCCATTTACATATTCACCTTCATATTTATCGCCGTTTGGTAGCAAAGCGTGACCAAACCCATGGCGTTCATATTTCTCGTTTCTGTGTCCTTCATATGTACCAATGTACATGCGAATACTTGCTCCATCTTCACTGTCTCCGTCTAAGCTTTCATAAGAAGTCATGTTGAGAGATACTTTGAATTCTTCTGACCTTTGTCTTTTTTCGTTATATCGTGTTTTCTGTTCTCCTGAGAAGCGCCGTATGCTTTAAGTTTTCCTTCTGTGGAAACGTTTTCGCACAATACAGTATAGGTTTCGTTACTTCATAGAGAGCCTTGCATTCTATTCACTAAGCGCGCGCAGAAGAATCAAACCGTTATATCTATCTGCACCGTTATATCTAAAGCAAATCTGGTACTTTGTTGCTTTGAAAACAACGAGGTGAAACATTTCTAAATGCGTGAAGAACGAACCCCAAAGGACGCCTGCGGGGAGGCTAGGGTCTTCATAGATTTTTGTGATGTATGGTCCCTTGATACTGATGGCGAGACAATAAGATGTCATGTGACCCCTAAGTAAAACCACTGAGAGCGCGCGCTAGGGAAAAAATTCCAACTCAACAAAGAAATCTGTATGTTTGACGATGTACTGAGAAAAGTTTCTAGCAGTATTCTCAGTTAAGGGCTCGACATAGTTTCGAATCCCAGGGGATTCTTTTTTCCGGAAAATTACCCCTTTTAGGAGAAGTAAGCTAAGAGAAATTGAAATAAACCGAGGAGTCTGGGGTTGATAATGCACTCTTTTCTGTGTTACATGAAGTACGTACCAAAATAACATGGCGGACAAGGACGTCGCAAGTCTAGTCAATCGAGTGGTAATGCCAGGCGATGTCATCGGCAAAGTGGCAGATTTAGAAGCAACTATTGAAGGAAAAAGCAAAATAAAGTTTGGGCCTGGGTTGCGAGAGGAGAACGGCGTGATTTTAGCATACAAGGCAGGAGTTTTAAGACATCGAAAACCGGCCACTTATTTGATTGACTGCAATCAAAGGAGGGTAAGACTCGTGTTGCACATGGCACATAATATAGATTTAGAAGGTAAGGGTAAGTAACTTTTTCTCTTGCTGTTTACTTAGTATGTCCCAGTGAAGGAAGAACGTGTCATTGGCATTGTTACCAACAGAGGCTCTGACAGTTATAAAGTTGATATTGGAGGAGCTATGCCTGCATCACTGCCTAGTCTTTCATTTGAAGGAGCAACTAAGAAGAACAAACCAAACATTCAGGTAAAATCATTTTTAATGCTTCCATTTGAAATATTCAGGGTTGTCACTAGAATTTCAAGTTCCCAGATATATGCAATTAGTCGGTGGGGAACTGAACAGCAAGGGAGTTCTTTTGCTCTTCCTACAGACCTACCAACCCCTAAAAAGAGAAAATCTGGAGACACATGGAAAAAAAATTCAGGAGATTCTACAAAGAAGTAGCGAGATTCTATTTTTCCTGATCAAGATTACACGAACACTCTTTTCCATTGGGGTATACATGAAATGTTTCATTTTAAATATAACCCGGTTTTTAGTGGGGCCCCTGTTGTAACAAATTAGAGGCTGCCTTTGCTTTAACGACTTTAAGAAGCCAGAGGATAAGTCATACCTTGGACGAAACTTACAGCAAAGAGTTGTTTCTTTCCGGATAAGCCAACTTTTTGGCTGAAATGTTAGACAAAGTCCCATCAAGGCTTAGAAAGCAGGGTTGTCAAAAGTAGCCGGCTGCCGGCGAAAATTGCCACCTACTTGGTTAGTTTCGGCAACCTACTCTGCTTGGCATTTCTTCACGGATGGCATTTTTTATAAATAACATATAACCATTCACCAACAAGATTAAAAGGTAAAGAACATAGCTTAATCTCTGGATTTTCAGTAATTTTGGAGAGAAAATAGCCTGGAGAGTAAAGAAAACAGCATTTCAGAGAATCAAAATATAAAAATTTTCCAGGGGAGCAAGCCCCCAGTCCCCCCAAGAGGCTTGCACCTTACCTGCACTAGCTCCTTACTTTCACAAATCAGACACATATCACTAGGGATATGTGTTTCCCTTGTAGGGGAAAACATATCACTAGGGATATATGTTTCCCAGGTAGGGGAACACATATCACTAGGGATATGTGTTTCTCTGGTAGGGGAACACACATCACAAGGGATATATGTTTCCCATGTAGGGGACCACATATCACTAGGGATATGTGTTTCCCCGGTAGGGGAACACATATCCCTAGGCATATGTGTTTCCCAGGTAGGGGAACACATATCACTAGGGATATGTGTTTCCCAGGTAGGGGAACACATATCACTAGGGATATGTGTTTCCCAGGTGGGGAACACACATCACTACGGATATGTGTTTCCCATGTGGGTGAACACATATCACTAGGGATATGTGTTTCACATGTAGGGGAACACATATCACTAGGGATATGTGTTTCCCAGGAAGAAGAACACATATCACTAGGGATATGTGTTTCCCGGGAAGGGGAACACATATCACTAGGGATATGTGTTTCCCAGGTAGAGGAACACATATCACTAGGGATATGTGTTCCCCTAGTAGGGGAACACACATCACTAGGGATATATGTTTACCCGGTAGGGGAACACATATCACTAGGGATATGTGTTTCCTACGTAGGGGAACACATATCACTAGGGATATGTGTTTCCCTTGTAGGGGAACACATATCACCAGGCATATGTGTTTCCAAGGTATGGGAACACATATCACTAGGGATATGTGTTTCTCAGGTAGGTGAACACATATAACTATGGATATGTCTTTCCCAGCTAGGGGAACACATATCACTAGGGATATGTGTTTCCCAGGTAGGGGAACACATATCACTAGGGATATGTGTTTCCCAGGTAGGGGAACACATATCACTAGGGATATGTGTTTCCCAGGTAGGGGAACACATATCACTAGGGATATGTGTTTCCCAGGTAGGGGAACACATATCACTAGGGATATGTGTTTCCCAGGTAGGGGAACACATATCACTAGGGATATGTGTTTCCCAGGTAGGGGAACACATATCACTAGGGATATGTGTTTCCCAGGTAGGGGAACACATATCACTAGGGATATGTGTTTCCCAGGTAGGGGAACACATATCACTAGGGATATGTGTTTCCCAGGTAGGGGAACACATATCACTAGGGATATGTGTTTCCCAGGTAGGGGAACACATATCACTAGGGATATGTGTTTCCCAGGTAGGGGAACACATATCACTAGGGATATGTGTTTCCCAGGTAGGGGAACACATATCACTAGGGATATGTGTTTCCCAGGTAGGGGAACACATATCACTAGGGATATGTGTTTCCCAGGTAGGGGAACACATATCACTAGGGATATGTGTTTCCCAGGTAGGGGAACACATATCACTAGGGATATGTGTTTCCCAGGTAGGGGAACACATATCACTAGGGATATGTGTTTCCCAGGTAGGGGAACACATATCACTAGGGATATGTGTTTCCCAGGTAGGGGAACACATATCACTAGGGATATGTGTTTCCCAGGTAGGGGAACACATATCACTAGGGATATGTGTTTCCCAGGTAGGGGAACACATATCACTAGGGATATGTGTTTCCCAGGTAGGGGAACACATATCACTAGGGATATGTGTTTCCCAGGTAGGGGAACACATATCACTAGGGATATGTGTTTCCCAGGTAGGGGAACACATATCACTAGGGATATGTGTTTCCCAGGTAGGGGAACACATATCACTAGGGATATGTGTTTCCCAGGTAGGGGAACACATATCACTAGGGATATGTGTTTCCCAGGTAGGGGAACACATATCACTAGGGATATGTGTTTCCCAGGTAGGGGAACACATATCACTAGGGATATGTGTTTCCCAGGTAGGGGAACACATATCACTAGGGATATGTGTTTCCCAGGTAGGGGAACACATATCACTAGGGATATGTGTTTCCCAGGTAGGGGAACACATATCACTAGGGATATGTGTTTCCCAGGTAGGGGAACACATATCACTAGGGATATGTGTTTCCCAGGTAGGGGAACACATATCACTAGGGATATGTGTTTCCCAGGTAGGGGAACACATATCACTAGGGATATGTGTTTCCCAGGTAGGGGAACACATATCACTAGGGATATGTGTTTCCCAGGTAGGGGAACACATATCACTAGGGATATGTGTTTCCCAGGTAGGGGAACACATATCACTAGGGATATGTGTTTCCCAGGTAGGGGAACACATATCACTAGGGATATGTGTTTCCCAGGTAGGGGAACACATATCACTAGGGATATGTGTTTCCCAGGTAGGGGAACACATATCACTAGGGATATGTGTTTCCCAGGCAGGGGAACACATATCACTAGGGATATGTGTTTCCCAGGTAGGGGAACACATATCACTAGGGATATGTGTTTCCCATGTAGGGGAACACACATCACTAGGGATATGTGTTTCCCATGTGGGTGAACACATATCACTAGGGATATGTGTTTCTCATGTAGGGGAACACATATAACTAGGCATATGTGTTTCCCAGGTAGGGGAACACATATCACTAGGGATATGTGTTCCTCTAGTAGGGGAACACACATCACTAGGGATATATGTTTCCCAGGTAGGGGAACACATATCACTAGGGATATGTGTTTCCAAGGTAGGGGAACACATATCACTAGCGATATGTGTTTCCTAGGTAGGGGAACACATATCACTAGGGATATGTGTTTCCCAGGTAGGGGAACACACATCACTAGGGATATGTGTTTCCCATGTGGGTGAACACATATCACTAGGAATATGTGTTTCACATGTAGGGGAACACATCTCACTAGGGATATGTGTTTCCCAGGAAGAAGAACACATATCACTAGGAATATGTCTTTCCCGGGAAGGGGAACACATATCACTCGGGATATGTGTTTCCCTTGTAGGGGAACACATATCACTAGGGATATGTGTTCCCCTAGTAGCGAAACACACATCACTAGGGATATATGTTTACCAGGTAGGGGAACACATATCACTAGGGATATGTGTTTCCCAGGTAGGGGAACACATATCACTAGGGATATGTGTTCCACTAGTAGGGGAACACACATCACTAGGGATGTATGTTTCCCAGGTAG